AAATATAGAGATTGTAATATGTGCATATAGCGACCACTTTTTGGACTTTTTTTTAAATTAACTTCATCAACTGTAAAATAATCAACTGATGAACAAGAATATCCCATACTAGTTATTGAATACTGTTCGTTATCTCCATATCCTTCATGTATAAAATCAAATCTAAAAGTTAAATTATGATGGAGCTTTACTTTTTAGATTTGATTGATATACAGGACTAGAAAATATACATTGTAGGTATAATGAAGTGTAGTTGTTTGAACAACCATAACTTGGTCAAGTGATGTGCGGTGCGAGTCTTACCTTAACTATTTGGACTACTGAAATACCATTAGTTAATGCAATATTAATAGGAAAATATGCATGTGTTATTTAATAACGGAATCCGTTATGCATCAATTATCACACGTTATCCCAAGTTATCAACTATCTTTAATGTCCCTGTCATACCCAATAAAGTAGACAGTGATTGATTCTATTGACAATATGAAATAGAATTGTAAATTTAAATTTAATGTCGTCTATTACATTTAAATTACACGAGGTTTGTCATGTTAATCTCAATACTCTCCGCCCACTGACGTGAAATACAAAGACAGGCGCACGAGATTAACTTAGACCTCTTAAGCTTACGACCTTTCACTTGGCGAAATTTACATGTTATTTTCTCTTTATATTTCACTGAATATAAACTCGATGTCTTATCAAAATTAATGTTGCGATGTCCATGATATAGACCTAAAACAGTAGACAATGAAATCGACGTAAATATGATATCAATAATATCATTGCAATGTCCGCAATGCAAAGGTTGGATAAAGATATCATAACAACGCAGATAATATTTTCAAGCTTTGAATGAACAATTTCTTCAATATAGCATAGATAAAGTGAAAAGGACATGAATAAAAAAAAATCATAAAATGAAAAAACTCACTGCTCATCTCGTCCAAAATATCAATTAGAAGCAGAAGTTCAACTTATATCAAAACACAATTTACATCTTATCACATTTTGTCATGACTTTTTCGTTTAAAGTCATATATTGTAATTATAAATTTGGTACACATAATAAACAATAGATGATTTAAATAATTTGAATTGGAAATGGAATATAGATTGATTTCTATCAAATATTCAAAACAGCAAATTAATTTTTAATTATCAATTAGACACTCGTAATCCTACACAGCAATTATATAGAAGTTTATATTGGTTTACCGTTTCATTTCGATGTTTCTTTCAAAGGCTCCAATACACTGCTTTAAACCCTTTCTTTACTACAGAGCCATCCGTGTGAAACCACATCGTCATGGCGTTTTTGCTGCTTTTCAAAATATAATCTGGATTTTTGTCTGTATATAGGATTCGACTGGATAAGTTAAAAGATCCGTCAAATACCTCTACGAAGTCGCATGAGGTTTCCACTTTCAAGTCCAAAAACCTTAAAAAAAGAAAATAAATTGGTTTAATTTTCATTTACGGAAAACAGCAATCAGTAAAAACATATTACTGTTACTGAATATCTTTTGTCTTTTCAAGGCTATTGATTTGTGACATTTGTTTTTTAAATACACTCCTCATGGCACTTGATCCCACCTCTGATGTTTTGGAGGTCCGTGTTGCTCTGCTCCTGTTTTGTATTGTTTGATGGACGTTTTGGCTTTAATGCTGTTCGTTATCTCCATATATTTTATTCATCAATTTTCAGAAACTCCACGAGGACATTGTTAATAGTTTTTAATAATTTTTTTTTCAAAAGATAAGATAATTAGGATGCTCCAAATGTAAAACAGGATGGGGTAAGAAAATCCTTATTCAGTATGCAAATTATAGAAGAAAATGCTAAATATGATTCCTTTATGGCAATGAAGACAAATATTCACCATAACATTTTTAGTTTTAATTTTATATATAAGTTATATATATAGTTAAACTAAAAGGATTGCAAAAGAGAAAACAAGCCTCGTCTGAGAAGAGTGAAGGATATGGAGATAACCATCAGTATTCAATATCAAAGTCCATAAAACAATACATAATCGCAGCAGAGCAAACACGGACCTCCACATCAGATGTGGGATCAGGAGCCATAGAGGAGTGAGCATCAGCAGCCGACCGGTCACACACGCCATGTTCTCCTTGTCATGATCGGAAAATAACAGGAAAATCTGTCGTCAATTTAGTGTAGAAAAAATGAAATAACAATACGTATGGAAAACTTCAATCAGTATTTGACTCTATGCTAAATAGTATTTGTTGACAAGGTCATTGTATCGACCATAGAACTTACGAAATGATGACTTTGAGCGAAATGCTTATATTCTTGTTTCATCAACTTGATTGTCAATAATTAACTTCGTTTTTAGAAATTCTTCAAATATAGAGCATGCTCTTGCATATTGAATCAACTGTGATTTATAAACTCCGGTCCGTATGCAGGTGATGAAGTTATATTGCTGCATAAGTAAGGGAAATTGACGACGGAAAAACTAAGTCACCACGTTAATCATAGAGCTCGATTGGTAGATTACCATTTATTCTTTTTTAAAGTAAAATATCCATGTATGAAACAGATGTGTCAGACATGTGGTATCTTTTATCTCAAGCTCATCAGGATGTTTCGTATTGATATAGGAATGGAAATTGCCATTGTTAATTGACAAAACGTCGACGATATATCTAAACGTCGAGTTGAAGGCAACAGCAAGTGTTTTCTTCTTTTCAAGCAAATATTTTGCACAAATTCTGCTAATAACGGAGGGCAATTTGTACCCATGGGAATTCCATTAGATAGTTGGAAGACCTGGTCTCCAAAAACCACATAAACATTGTCGATCAGAAACTCAAGCATCATTTTGATGTCAACTTCAGAGTACTTGTTTGTGAAATCAGAATGTGTTTTAACAAAAAAAAATGGCAAATGACCAATGACTAGGTAAGTAAATTTACGAGTTCCATTACTAAGAGGTAATCGCTTAAATTACATAAGTAATATCCTTTGTTTGATACCAACTTTAAAATATAAATATACTCCGTAAAAATCCAGCAAAATTGTAAATAACTTAGATTTTAAGTCATAGCTTATCTGATGTATTTGTTCAAATAAGTTTAATATTTAAAAACTCAAAGTTTACCTGAGGTATATCACTTTCTTAAGACTTGCCGTAATATTCCAAACGACATTAGCATAGTTATTGTAATCATTAGGGTAATTTGGTGATAATATTGTCCCACATCCCGACGAACAGGAACTGCTACACACTAAAAAAGAAATCAAACTCCAAGATTATTCTTAGTTTGCATTTATACTATGAAATCACTGTTTTTTTTGTTTTTTGTTTTTTTTTTTTGGGGGGGGGGGTAATTTTCGTTGTTTTCGAGACATGGAGATCGAGATCCACGAATTTATGACTACTACGAAATGAAAAATTTCATATATATTACTACTAAATATTCTCCATCAGGGGCGTAGCTAGACAAAATTGATGTGCACGCCAAAAAAGGCAGGGGGTCTGGGGGCCGCCTTAATTGAGGCCCCCAGTGGGTCCACGGCGAAGCCCTGGTGGGGGCCGTGGGGGCGAAGCCCCCGGAAGCTCCTGGGTTTTCACATTTAGACTGAACAAAATTTACGGTATTTTTAAATATATAACATATGCTACGAGATGAAGTCAACTTCGGGATATTTTGATTTATGACACCAAAAAATAATAGATCTATTAATATTTAAAAAATATTTATGTTTTTTTTTTTATAAAATCAAGTGCATTGTCTGAATTTTTGTGATTACTTTAAAAAGGTATTTTTAGTTCCATTTTTTGTCTAATATTTAAATAATGAAATTAAAACAAAACAATTTCAATCCAGCAAATTTAATTTCCCCAAAACGTATTTCGTCATGTTTCGTGTATTAACTATAGGTATTACATATAACGTTAGGCCTGCAGGCATAGTAAGTTTACACGGAATCTTTTAGGAATTTAATTTTTATATGACGATATAATCAATTGTTTTTATAATAAATTTTATAAAAATGCACAGTATTTTTTTTTTTGGACTAAACGATGTGCACGCCATGGCGTGCTGGCGTATAGGCAGCTACGCCCCTGTCCATCTACGAAGTCAAGTACCTACACACCAACATTGTTTTGCTCAAACCTCGAAAAGTTGACCCCGTGAAAATATGCAATTTTACAGTATGTAGATTAAAACTGTTAATGTATTGTAAAACGCATATATTTTTTATAAGTTAAATGGGAAAAGAAATGAAGATACATTTCATAACAAATTGCTTAATTAGGTGTTTTCATAAAGATCTAAAATTACAGTTATATCCAGCCGTTAACTTTTTTCGCAGCAAATATATTTTTATAACTGATAAAGTTAAATCAGAATCTATAAGAACGTCATTAATAAGAACACACAATACTTTGAGGTTATTCAATCTAGGCCAAACATGTTGGCCTTTCAGATGTAATTTACACTTCAAGTTGAAAAAAAATAAATTGGCGAATGGTCGTGAATGTCATTGCAGTAGATTTTTGCTACTTTCTAAGCATATTTTTATTTTCAAAAGACTGGATAATTAAAGTCTAACCTCTGAAAGATTCTAGTGCCGCAGCAGTCCAAAATAAATTACTCCATATTCTAAAATATAAATTTTTCAAATGATCTTAAACCTGAAATATTGAGTGATACTAGCTTTTAAAATTCACTTTTTCTCTAAGACATATTTGATTCCTCTCTTACACAAAACGCAACAAAAAAAATGTACAACATATTTTTATGGAGGGCGGCCCCCACATTCAAATTAAGATATCTTGAAAAATTCTTGAAAAAAACATGTAGGTCAGTGTTCTCAACAAATTTTGAATCTTGCAAAGCCATGGTAGAGAGAAGAAATGACGAGTTTTGTTGTTGCATATTGTGTTTTCATTATAAATTCGTTTTAGAAAATAGAAAAGTGAAATATCGGGGCAGCTTCTATTTTCTTGTGTCCAAAGTCACATTAAAATTGAATAGTTGCTAAAGTCATTTTCATTGCCGTCTTCCTCCTGCAAGACTATTGTGGAACCAACAAGTGTAGAATTTAAACCAGAAGATGCATTTCTTTTTTCCATGTTCACGCAATCTGTGTAAAAAATACAGATAAACATTGAAATCCGTCCTCATACAAAGATTTGTTATTTTTTTCTTAAAAAAATATTTCCATAAAAATGAAAAACCATATTTTAACTGGAAACAATTGATGTTTGGTTATGGTTGTCGTTGACTTTGATACTGGGTTTAGAGCGATCGTTGTTGTGGAGGGATATACATCTTCTTCCACTGCCCTTGCATGCAGACGAATTTTCCTGTGAATATTCATAATGTTGATCAAAAGGAAATAGAAATAATAGGTTAAAAAAAAGAAATAATTTGTAGTATCTTTATTGAACTTTATATGTATCTGAAACACTGATGCCTCTGTTTGGCAGTTTTTGGCGAGAGATGATGTATCTCAAATGCAAATTAATCTCTAAGGTCAATGCCAAAAAGTTGAACCTTTTCTTATTCAAATGAGGGTTATGTCACAAGAAATATACCTGGATGAAAGACCCCTATTTACTGTTGAAAAGTTATGGCCAAAATTAAAATTCTTAAAGAGTTGATGAATCTCTAAGGAGGAGTAAAATGGTCAAAGTTGTTAGAACAGTAAACATGTATCAAAAAATGAAAAAATAGGAATATTTCAGAATCAAATATGAAGAATATATTTTCAATTCCTAATCATGCAACAGTGAAACTTATTTGCAATCTTATAATACGTTTTATTTCCATTACGGAACTCTTCAGAATTAGAGACGCTTTAACGTTAAGTACCAGTCCGTGTAAAAATCATGCAAAAGTGATATTTGAGTGATGCACTCAGGTTCTTAGAATTCAATGATTTTCCACACAGAGATTTCTATTGATCTATTATCCATGTATGTAAAATTAAAAATGTTTTGGACCATAGTTACTATGGAAACCTGGTCAAAGTAATTTCCTTAGCAACCAGCCAATTTTTCCATGTGAAGGCACTGAAAATCACTGATACAACTTTCTGATCATTTGCATACATATATTCTTATGTCTACCATAGTACTAGCTTCAGATAAAATATCATGTCTTGTGTGTTTTAAACAACTAAAGTGTGTGTCTTTATCTTACCTAATAAATGAGAATTATTTTTAAAGTTTTTATATATAATTTCAGGATTTAAAGATCAGTGATTTTCAGTGCCTTCACATGTCTGAAAGTATGATGGATCCCAGTAAGCTTTTACAATTCAACTGTAGAAGTATTAAGGTATATGAAAAGTGCTGCGATCCTGATGACATCTTAGAAATGATTTAATCATATAAATTTTCATGCCGTTGACCAGCAAAAAATATAGCATTCGGTCATATAAATATAATTTTAACAATGAAATTGCAGAAATTAGATAGGATAGCAGCACTTTTCAGAAACTACAATACGTGTTGAAAATATTTATAAACTAAATTTGGAATTTTAACTTGGTTATGCCCTTGCACCAGTGAAAGAAGTCGGTTCACTTTATACATATAATGGCCCTGTAGATTTACCAATTGATTGATTAACACTTGATATTTATTTGAAGTATTAAAATAAACTAGAGACTTTGTGCTTTCATTTCCTATTAAAAATTTTCTCTTAAGAGTCCAGGTCGTGGAGAACTGGCTAAATGAAATTGCAATGTTCTTGAATTTTCAGGTAAACAAGTATAACTGAGTACTTTCAATGAAGAAAAATAATATTAGCGCACTCTCTGATCTAAAAAATAAAACATGTCCATTAATCCCCAGAAACAGTTCTATCATTTAGTAGTTGCACATTTTAGATCAGAGGTTGCGCTCTATATTAAATATCAAAATATAACTTTAAAAATAGGCCGTTTTGTAGACTTTTTCAGAATATGTGGACATTGACGTATTTTGTGACGTCATAATGCATTGACTGACCAGAAAATTACGTCATATTTTGCAGACACGCAGTCACCAAAGATCTAAGTGATATTTAAATGCATTGTTAACTTAAACTATGCAATTTCAGTTTTTCAGAAATTCACAGGGCCAAATAAGACAAAAGTGAACCTTGTTCTTTATAGGTAACATCATTACTGCAAGTAAATGCCGCATCACGTGACAAGTCTAAATATAAAATCTAATTGTCTTCAACATGTAGTTATTAACCATAATTACAATTATCTGATATATATAATGTACTAAAAATAATCGCCATCCCGATTATGAATTCAGTTTAAATATTGTCGATATTTCCATTACACACCTTAACTGTACTTCGTTGCCATTCCGATTTAAGAATAGATAAACTAATAGACATATATGTAAGAAAGCGAGAACCTTAAATTATCATCCATTAATAAAAATACGATAGTTCAAAGGCATGTGTATTGTATTTAGATGATAAACAGATACATACGATAAATAATAGATAAAAATTGATATCGTTGTCGTTTCTACTCTTGATGCATATCAAGTCCACAAAAATAAAATGATTCATTTGAATTTTGTTAGGATTTGTTCACCGACATCCAACATATTGTTTACATGTTTATATCACGTTTGTCCCAGAAATCGCGCGAAATTGGTACATTTTGCGATTTTGGTATCCAAAGGAAAGAAATACATCTTGAAATATGAAAGCCTTAGTGCTAACTGTTTAAAAAGTATGATTCAAATTTGAATTTGTTTTTCTTCAATGGGTCATACTCCAAAGTCAAGGTTAAAATGTCATATTTGGTGACACACAAAGAAAGGTATTTCCAAAACGAATACACCTGTGAAATATGAAAGCCATAACCCCAACCAGTCAAAAGATTAAAGTAAGGTTAAAGTTTTGAGGACAAACAGAAAACCATACAAACAGACAGACAGACAGACGGAAGGACTGGACAAAAACTATTACAACCCCAAATCTTCAATTACGGGGCCATAAAAAATTAAACCAATTTAAATCATTAAACTTAATTACTTAAACTTATTATTAATTCAAATATAAAACTAAATTGTGAAGTTTTTCACCACACATATATGAAATGCTCCCCTTTATAGAAATTTTTCATGAGATTTGTCGTTAGAACATACCTGAGCCAATGTTGCTCTTTTATTTCTTCGAAATGAACAACAACTTTCTAAACTTTCGACAAAAGTGATGTTATTGAAACTGATGATAAAATGATACCTGTTGCTCCGTTTTTTCCACATAAACAAAACCTTTATCCTCCACTAAATTTGACTCAGACTCACCACGTGATTTATAAGATAATTCACAGAATAAATGGACTCGGTTGAAATTAAATGATTTACAATCTGAGTAAGAATTACATTCCTTAGAACAACCGCGGAATCCAATGGGACTGAGTGACGTGATGACATATCCAGTCAGTCGGGAATTCTGGGTTTCTCCTGATGAGAGAGCAGGAGTTAATAGAAACACAAACCATACAATTAACCAGTAGCTTTTCATTTTGAAAGTGAATATTGTAAGAAAGAATGGACGACTTTATAGTTTTAATTTCAGCTTGGTTAATGAATGATTTAATATCGGTTTATTTGATAATAAAAATTGTATTTTTAATCTTCGATTCGTAACGAAAGATCTCAAGGTCCTAAACAATGAATTATAAATGTTTATCGATTTGACAAAATTTTACACTGCAAATTTTTATTTACAGTATAAACTCCACATGTAAATCTTTTTAATTATTAGTTGGAAAATTGAATAAAAACACTCCATACTCTGTCCTTATTAATTCAGAAGTGAAATAGTAATAAGATAGATTACACGATCGTTATTTAATGGTTCAAGTGCATGTAAGACTGGACGAAAAACGTGCTTAGAATCACAAATATACAGTATATTACTGACATTTTACTATTAATAGTACAAATAATATGGTCACAGGTTATTTGAGGGCAGTTTTGACAAATACCACACTTTGATTTTAATAATGTGCCTGAAATGCGAACAAAATCAAAGCAGCTTAATGTTTTTACAGTGCGTTTATCAACATTCTTTTAATTAAGACAGTAAACGCACTTTAAAAGTATACGTATAAAACAAAAAAAAGAAAAAAATAAGTAGCAAGCAATAACATTTTTCTTAAAGTTTTCTTCGTAGCTTTTCCAGACCTTTCAACATTTTGCTTTTATTTAAACAAAAGATATAATTTTTTTTATTGTTTCCCAGAAAAACCATTATTCTCTGAATTAACAATGACATTAAATCAAAATCAATAAGCCTTACTTTTTCGTTTCGATAGCTGAAAATATAATTTAATTTCATAGTTCAGGTGTACAAGTATATATCAAATGTCAATATTCAAATACCAGCTTTCTCTAATACAGGACATAATCTTTCGGCGTTCTAAATTCAAAATTCATGTAAATAAATATGAACACACTGCAGATTTTATAAAACGTATATGTTTAGCAATTCAATTCATGTAAATAAATTTGAACACACTGCAGATGTTATGAAACGTAAATGTTGAGCAATTAAGATATCATGTTAATAATGTTCCAATATACATATAACTTTAAATTGTTTCCTAAAATTATTGCCGTATGAATGAAGGAAATGGAGATAACGAATAGTATTCAATATCAAAGTCCATAAAACATTACAAAATTGGAGCAGAGCAAACACGGACCTCCAAAACATTAGAGGTGGGATCAGGTGCCATGGAGGAGTGAACATCCCCGCCGTGTGCTCCTTGTCATGGTCGGGATAATAATTGAAAAATTGGGGCTATCCGTCGTCAATTCAGTGTATAAATAATGGACTAACAAGTAGTATGAAAAACTTGAGTCAGCATTTGACTCAATGATAAATTGTGTTTGCTCACAAGGTCATTGTATCGACGAAAGAACTAACGAAATGATGACTTTAAACGAGACTGTTAATATTCTTATTTCATCAACTTGATTGTCAATAATTTACCTCGTTTTAGAAAGCATGCTCGAATCGAATCGACTGAAATATATAAACGTAGTATGCAGCTGATGGAGGTATATTGCTGCATAAGTAATTGAAGTTGACGATGGAAAAGTTAAAGTCATCAGTTTGTCATACAGCTTGGTTATTAGATTGCCAATAACGTCTTTGTCAAGTAAAATATCCACGTGTGAAACAGATGCGTCAAACTCTGTGGTATCTTTTATCTCAAGCTCACCAGGATATATCGTATCAGCATAGGAATGGAAATTATCATTGTAAATTGACAATACGTCGCCGATATATTTAAACCAAATTGTTGTTAAAATTTTCCTTCTTGTCCCATTGTTATATGTGTCAGTGTATCGAATTATATTTGATGACTTCTAAGGTCCTTTCGAATACCTCTAATCATATACGGTATCTCATCTCAAATCACAATCATATAATAAAAGTAAAATACATTTGAGTTTATATATTTGGGCCGCAATAGATATTATAAAGGAGAGGGAAATCTGGTTAAGAACAGCATTGGTTAAACATTCTCAGACGAGCGATGTAGCCCATGGACCTTTTGTTTTCAAAAGAAATTATCATTTGCATACATGCTGAATCATTAATAGCACTTGGTACACTGTAACAAAGATTGGATGAATGAGTATTAATAAAATGAAAATACTATTAAAATAGAAAATCAAATATAAAAAAGGTCAATTTTCTTCTTTGTTAAGACATGCACTTTTGAAATATTTACCATATCTTTACATGGCCTAGAAAGTTGTTTATAATAAAAACATCGGTATCAAACAGCGAGTCAATTTATTTACACAAATTAACCGATTTCGAAATAGGAGCAACACTGCGGGAAAACTAAGCAGAGATTATATCTCTTATCATAAGTGTTTATTTAATGCATAAACATTGAAAGGTTCGCTGTTTTATATGCAAAGAACGACATTCGACATAATGCAATCATAATGTAAAGATAACTTCCATGAGATTTGTGACTGTCGCAGTAAATATTTTCTATCAAAGAAGGCGAAGAAATAAGCGCCTTACATTTTTGCATTCATCATATTTTTTTAAGCTTTAGTTTTCAGTTAATGTGACGATTAATACCTAAGTCTAAAATTTTCTCACCTTATCATAAGTAATTTGCATTCAGTGATTTTATTGAAATGAAATATGTGGAGATAATGAACTGTATTCGAGCTCGAAATTCCATTAAACATCACAAAATGAGAGCAGAGCAAACACGGACCTCCAATACATCAAAGACATGATCAGGTACCACGGAGGAATGAGCATCCTCTGCCGACCAGTCACAACTGCCGTGTGTTCCTTATCATGATCGGAAAATAGCAGAAAAAATTCGGGGACATCTCAGTGTGTAAATAATGGTCTAACAATTAGTATGAAAAAAGCAAAGTCAGTCAGTATTTGACTTACAGATAAATTGTATTTGCTGACTTGGTAATTGTATCGAATATTGAACTTACGAAATGATGACTTTAAACAAAACTGCTAATATTCTTGCTTCATCAACTTGATTGTCAAAAACTTATCTCGTTTTAGAAAGTGTTCATACAAAGAACATGCTCTTTCGTACCAAATCAATTGATTGCCACCATGACAAAAGGTCCTTATGGCAATTTTTCTAGAACAGAGAAATAACGTCATAAAGATATGACGTTGCAGACGGTGAGCGTCGTCGCAGATTTTTTTTTACGTTTTGTTTTACGTTTTGACGTCTATCTTTTTTGTGGTTATTGACCATTGTATATAATGATAATTCAGTCAATTTTTAAACATTTAATTCTGATTTTTTATGTTGGATCCTCTAGTCCACTGGTATTAAATTAAATTAAGGCCTGTTTAGAATTTGAGACCCGTTTCTTCGCTACTTCTAGCGATATCGCTATATATATATATATATGTCTCTTATTTACATTCATTTCCTTATGCATGACCGTATACACAGCGCTTACACACAAATTTATTTTCTAAATAATTGAATACTGATGAACAAATGCAAATTTTGATTTACTGGCATAGACAAAATTGAAGTAATGTGTAAGGCACGGATATTTTATCAAAATATTGGAGAGGAAATTGTTTCCCTGTATGCACATGGTATGAGATCCGCTCCAGCATTCTCAGCATTTACATCAATCAGGTAAACATTGAATCACCGGAGCATGATCTTCCATATTTTTGCTGTAAAATGCTTTAGTGCTAAAAGAATTTGAAACCTAAACACATTTCCTCCAACAGGGAAGAAAAGAATTCTTATAAGTTTCCCGAATCTGACAAAATAATGGACAAATAACCGAGTCGAAGTTTTGTAAATAAAAACAGGAGCGGTAACTCTGACAATCGATCGAATTAATAAAGGGGTACCAGAGAGGGTCATTCATTTGATTTTTTTCCATTTCAACTGACAATCTTCATAAAAATTTGCTCCCGTAGTATAACAAATATTTTAAACATGTTCTTTATTAGCAGTTCAAACGTTTTACCGTGTATTGGAAAAAAAATTTAAAAGTGTGTTTATCACTATGGAAACTAGATCCTTTAAAAATATATAGAACAAAAAATATATATGCAACTTTGAATAAAACTTTTAATTAACAAAATCTTTACATTCATGCAGAAATGAAACTTCAATGAAAAATCGAATTTTCAAAGCAACAGAATACCGGTATCGTAAAATGAAAAGAAATCTCTATTGGTTTAAATACAGTGTATATCTATTCATTTAAAGGAACCTTTAAAACTTTTTAAAATTTTTTTAAGCTTCATCTGCAGATTTAAGTGGATCACTTACATGTATATATGTCAAAACATCTATTCCGTTTCATTCATAGCATATAAGCAATATATATGTACATCATATGTCATTACAATTGTATTGCCAATTAATCTACAACTCATTTGATTTTTGAAACTAGAATACATGTATCAGTTATTGGTTTATTGTCCAACTTGCCGTGGAAAAAAGGAAGTGAGATGAATTTATTTTGGGAATTTATAGGTAAAAAAAAATACTGTGATAAACATTACATTAGAGAACAATAACAATGACAAGTTTAAAGAAACTGCGAGAAGATTAAAATTCTACACACACCGGATCATCACATAACAAGAAAGGAATCATTGGCGTCGGAAGCAAATTGAAAGTGGGGGGCTAAGTGTAATAAAAAAAATTTTTACCTTCACAAAAACCTGACAAGCAAAAAAAAAAAAAAGGAAATGTCCAAATCCTATTTCGTGGTGGTGGTGGTGTGTGTGTGTGTGGGGGGGGGGACTTCAGTACCAAATTTTTTTTCCAAACACCAAAACTTTCCCCATTTCTAACCAATACTGCGAGATCTCTGTGGAAAGTGGGGGGGGGGGGCTTAGTCTACGAAACAAGGTTCAAAGTCTATACTAAGTATATTTTTAGAAAACAAGTGGGGGGGTAAGCCCCCTAGCCCCCCCCCCCCCCCCCCCCGGTTCCGACGCCTATGGGAATAAAAAGAAAAAATAAATAAACTCTATTACCAAACAAAAAATCCTATTTCGTGTGAATTAGGGAGGGTGTGTTGGAGGGGATTGGGGTTAGTCGTTGGCTTTTTTTACATCATACCGGCCAGTGACTTTTCATACCAATTTTACGTAGATCCTTACTTTCGAGGAGAGGTTCGCCCATTCTAAAGGGGGGGGGGGTATTTCGTTTAAAAAAAAAAATTATAATTCTGCACAATTCATGCGCAGATCCCCCCCCCCCCCCCCCCCCGACTCCCTCTTGATCATCGCATGGGTTGTATATGAATATCAAATTTCCTATTTAATTTTTGACACCTCCCGTAAAATTTCTTTGAATCAATCTATATGATCCAGAACAATTAGGAATTTATAATTATTATACCCCCGTTTGAAAAGTTGGAGGGTATATAGGGATCAGGATGTCCTTCTGTCTTTTACGCTTTGGCGTACCCAACTTCTATCCGCAACTCCTCTTATACCAAGGTTTGAATTTTATTGAAACTTCACAGATTCTTTGTTACATAATTTTACTTTTTAAACGGATGTTTATTTCGGATTTCCAATAACAAACATGGACACCGTCATTCTTTCTAAAATATTGAAGGGTACCCATCTCTCATCAGCAAAAAATGCATTAATGGTACTTTCACTGATTCTTTATTATAAATAATGTCATTATGCACCTCCTATTTTACTTTGTGTTTTGACACTTGAAGCTAATTTCGTGTCTCCAAGAAAAAAACCCACGGATTTTGCCATTATAAAGATATGGGAGGCGGGGGTATCGTTTGATATGTGCAGTGCTCACAGTATCTCTAGTTTATGATTTAATATTTACATTTTCAATGTCTTTGTCCGAGATGAAATTACAAAAAGTAAAAATAAATTTATTTCTACATACATAAATCTACTGGTTCATTGATAGACACGGTTAAAAGAAATACGCACGGAGTGGGACAAATAGTGACAGAAGCGGGGCTTGTAGCAAATATCACTCAAGCCATTCGATTGATCACGTCATGAAACAAAAAAAAGACAGTTATTCCTTAATTTAATGGTATACGAGTATTATATTAGCTGCAGATCTGTAGCTCTCCGAAAAAAATTATTGATAGACTGGAGAGCTACAGAGCCACCCATTGAAAAAAAACTGTATATTTATTGCGCACAAAAAAGTGCGCTCGGTTCTTGATTTATTACTCCATGTTTTTAAAACTGTAATCTCAAAATATTAATAACCGTGTGTTCTTAACATATTCTTTTTCTCTAACCACAACAAAACATTCCTCATAATTGTTGTTAGTGGTCTTCCTGGTCCTGATATTGCAATCATCGAACATTTCGCTTATTTATACTGCCATTTTTCCAAAGATAATTCGGTCCAACATGCTTCGTTCAGATCTCAACTACGAGAGTACTTGATAGAGGAGAGGTGAATTTTTTTAAATCTTCCATTTTATGCAATTGAGTTAAGAATTTGGAAGAATTCATCAAGAACCGAGCGCACTTTTTTGTGCGCAATTGATATACAGTTTTTTCAATGGGTGGCTCTGAAGCTCTCCGGTCTATCAATATATATTTTTTCGGAGAGCTACAGATCTGCAGCTAGTATTCAATTTGATATTATAATAAAAAATTACAAATTGATTTCATTTGAAATTTAGATAAAATGGTTTTAATAAATGAAATTTATTACTAGTAAATGGCAAAAGTTGTTTTAATTAATAATAAAATATTCAGTATTTGTATAATTATATGGACTTGGTATATGTGTTCTTCTAAAACTATTTAGTTTAACAAAATAAAAAAAAGCCTGAGATTGTTGTACAGTGTATACAGTTATAAATTACATTTCACAATTTTTCTGTCTTTAATTTTAGAAAAAAAATACGAATAAACAATTTTTTTTACAATCCAGTAGCATCTTGTTCATTGTTGATCCTGAGGACTTTTTTTTTTTAAATATTTCATTATATTTGTTTAACTACCACATATGAAAAGCTTTATCGTTATATATTATTCATGCAAGAAAGTTGACACCTTGACCTGTCGAGGTTCATGATTTTCAAATGAATTCTGTAAGATTTCTTTACATGAAATAAATATTTTAGTATTGTGAAAGTAAATCGATATTGAACAAAAGCTGTTTGCTTCTCCCAACAAACAGTTACTTTCATTAATGGATGATAGATATGTGGGTCTATTACTACTAAATTATTATTTTTATTAGACAATTATTAAAATAGAAAATTTATCAAGTAAAAAAAAAATTCTAGAAATACTCCGTATACATTCATTATCATAGTAACGTTACCATGAAAAGTCGAAATCGTGTTCACTCTGAAAACTTGACGTTTGACGTTGGCGCAAAAGTAACATGACGTCATTATTTACCGGTTAAAGTATCAACTATATAAATGAAGAAAAAACATACTTAGAGTTGACGTAGGACCACAAAAATTCATATTCGGTAACTTCTAACCTTGCTTTATTAGAATCCATGAAAAATTCAAAATGTGTAAAAATTGCCATAAGGACCTTTTCTCATGGGGCCAATCAATTGAGATATATAAACTACGTATACTGTTGAGAAAAGTAAATTGCATCATACATTTAAGGAAGGGAAGCTGGCGATTGAAAAGTTAGTCATAACGTTTTTCATAAAGCTTGGATGTAAGATTACAATTAACGTTTTTTCTAGTAAAATATCTAAGTATGAAAATTTAATTATTTCAAACTTTTTGAATAGATTTGTCAGGTTCTGTGGTATTTTTATTTAAAGCTCATCGTGAAAGGTCGACATATGAATAAAAATTATAGTTATTGTTAATTATCAATATGTCGTCCATATATCTAAATGCCGACTTGAAGGCAATAGCAAGTGGTTTTTTTTCTTTTCACGTAAAATGTTTTCGTTTTAAAACAAAAATAGGTGTGACGAGGCGCAATTGGTACCCATGGGAATTCCAATAGATTTTTGGAAGACCAGGTCTCAAAAGTTAAAACTACAAAGATATTGTCAATTAGAAACTCGAGCATCTTTTTAATATCAACTTCAGGATACTTGTGTGAAGAATCAAAATGTCTGTTTAACAAAATAATTAAGCGAATGATCAATGACAAGGTAAGTACGAGTTCCATTTTTATTGAAAAAACCAGCTTTCAAGGATGTCAGAAACCCTGGAATTTAATTTATTTGTGGGGAATATTTGTATTTAAAGTTAAAAAGTCGTAAGTAATAAACATTTATTAACTGTGTTCGAGGGCAACATGCGTTTTGTCTGACCAAAGAACCAAACTGTTTGCCTGAGGCCGCTAGGCTGAACATAAACAGTTTGGTTCCAGGGGTCGACAAAACGCATATTGCCCGAGAACACAGTTTATACATGTTTTGTTAAACTTTTGATTTATTTAATTTTTTGAGATACATGTATGTTAAACACCAAGGAATTCAAATGAGATTTAGCTGATCGCGCCCATTGTGTGACGTAAGAGGTCTAATGTCTCATCGACAGGTCCAATTTCAAACATCGATGTTTTTAAAGACCGCTCATTAATAGATAAGATATGATAGGCTCTTATTAGTTTTTGGACTTAAATAGGTACAATCTTAAAAGGTTTTAGGCACACAAGATTAACTAAAAACCTCTTAAGCTCATGACCTTTTGCTTGGCGAAATTGGCATGCCGAGTGAACTATTAAAGAATCAACTAAACTAACTTATAAAGAGGAAAATATCTTTAAAATACTTAAATCGATATTGATGTCTCTGTTCCAGTTTTGTTTAACCCCTTCACTTCCGTACCGGTCAAATTGACCGGTGGCGCGTTTAAACACGACTTCGCGAAAATAAGATCTCCGTATATAATTTGTGGTAGTATGAAGGTATATAAGCTATATATCATCTTTTTGGAAATTTTCTCTACTTTTTAGATATCTAAAAAGATTATATCTTGATTAATGGTATTTAATCGATTTTACGTTGTAAAGACAAACGAGACTTTTTGAAAATTGCGCAATTTTCCAAAGCGATTGCCGATTTTCCAGACGATTGACAATTTTTTTCCTGATTAACTTGATAAGAAAGCATGGTATATTCTTAAAGCATTTTTTCTCTACTTTTAAAATATGTAAAAATTATTGTTATTACTTTAAGGTATATTTTAAAAACAAGGCTTTTCTTGCACTTATGAGTTTTTTCTCATATTTATTCGTAATATTTAAACAAAGTTCAGTTTTACGTTTATTTCTGTGTTGAAATAGGGAAAACAAAATAAAGCTGGTAAAAGTAGAGAAAATTTACTTTCCAACAAGCCCTTATAGGCCTTCTTACGCTCAGTATTTTCTTACTTACGATAATTTGAATTTGTGACCTTCGCATAGTTTTTATGGAAAAATCGGTCAATATTTACATATAACGTCAAGATCGATATTGTTGCGTCTTACTCGAAACAACAAATTCTTTTATAAGACTTTTTTGACCATTTAAATTTACTGAAATAAATGCATAATACCAAAAAAAAAAATAGATTTCAAAAATCAAATATATACTTTCGTTCTGCCTGTTGTGAAGTGAATGTTGATTTATTCATTTACATGTAATGATGTATATTTCTTGTAGTGATATACAATATTGATAAAAATTGTAGATTTCCAAAACGTCGATCTTTACAAAAAAAAAATCAATCAGATTTTTAATATTGTTGTATCTTGTTATACTGTATACTTATTAATTTGCAATTTAATTAGATCTATATTTAACAATACAAAAACTCGCATTTATAAATAAATACGACTCATCACTGTATGAGTTGATACGAATTGAAATAACCACGTGTTTCCGCTGTGGTAGCTGTAAACAAAAACATGATCCGAAATCTGAACGTCAATTTTCATGATTATTTCACGACGAAGATCCTTACATCAATGAATCAAATAATACGGACATGACTTTGGTATTAGCAGGTGAGAATACGTGTATATTGACTGAAAAGTTTAAGTTTAAAACGCATTAGTTCACGTTCAAAAGAAAACTAAATGTACACATGTACTAGATCTTTATGTTTCAGTGTGCGTATTTCGTATCGTTCAGCCAATTTTGCATTGCTTTTGAACTTTGATGCTTTTGACAATCAATCGTAAGTTCAAAGTAAAATCAAAGTTGTCATAATAATGGATAGTTGTTTTCAGTATGTATGTACCAGTGTGTACATGTACCACTTTCACATTGAATTTTTAGGGTGCTTTCACCATATACATCAATACTTTCATCTGTGAATACCCACTTTCTAAGCCCACCATGAACTACGAAGGTCAATTAATATGTAAGGACACCAATAAACAGGTAAATTTTTGTTTTGGTATTGAAAAAATTCTGTATTTCTAAAATTTCAAAAAATAAAGTCTAATTTCATTTGTGTCATTCTCATGATATTGCATTCATACAAGTTTACAAACATTTGATTTATATTTTGAAAAATAAGTGTTTGAAACACATAATACTTATGATGCTTGATTATTCATACAGACACATTATTTAAACATGTAATATCTATCTGAATGAATGCCGAGATATGAAACAAGCTGTTTTTATTGACTGCTGTTGTATTTCCAATCTGCATAAAGTATGAGGCTAGAATTTCCATTTTCTCAATTTTTCAGACACTTTCCAATTATGGTACATCATGTACATGGGTGGTCAAACTCACTGGATGGTTTATCAACACTCCCATGCTCACGAACAGCCTAGCCCCATGAATTTTGCCCTGAAGTAACATTGCAGTCTATTGTCTCCTTTCTTCTTACAACCCTGGCAGCCATGCAGGTATGAAATCTATGAAAGCCATGAAGGGACATAGAATTTTTAAAATTTATAAAAGTAAACCGAGTTCTTGATTTATACAATCGGTTCTCTCGGATTGACAATCTTTTATAACAAATTGCCAATTCATTCTCACAGATTATCAATTCGTTCCCTCAAATTACACAATCCGTTATCTCAGGTTGTATAATTCATTCTCTTAGTTTAAATGATTCATTCCCTCGGAATGTAAACCCTTCCCATGATTTTGTTTAAATTATTTATCTGTACATATCAGATATGGTAATACATGTTTAAAAAATAGAATATTGTAGTATTTTACATCCTAACTTATTTACAAATTACGGTCCAAAATGAGAAAAATACATGATAATTTCCAAATCCATGTGCTAGTACTGATATTTGTACAACAAAAAATCTTAGAGGTTTTCGTGTTACTTGTATATTAGAATAATTGAAAGTCCTAGTTGTAAAAGTGAATATGGGTCCTGTGTAATCATAATATTTCTAAAATAAATATACGTTGAATTAGTTATGAGAGAGGTTGGAAACGACCGGTTGCTGAAACAAAATAAATAGAACGCACTTATTGATTAAAATGGTTGGATGTATCTGTACATATATGTAATGAAATTCAAGAGCACAGATTTCCAAAATCATAAGACTGACGTTGTAACAAATCGAGATGTCGAATTATCAATCTGTGAAAACAAATTACCGGTATGTAATTCAAGATCTCAAATTATGAATCAAGGGGGCGAATTAGTAATCCTTAAGATCAGATTGTGTAATTCGAGATCTCATATTATAAATCGAGGGAACAATTTAGTAATCCGTGGGATTGGATTGTCTAATTCGATTCGATATCATTTTTTACTTTTTGAAAAATTTACGTGTCCCTTCCTGGCTTTCGTAGCAATCTAATGCCAGATTTTTGTTGCGATAGCGTAAACAGAGGTCTGGCTTTAGTCAGATTGCCATATATTCTATTTGTTTTAGTTCAGTAAATTTACCATGATGGTTCACTACAAGGTTGTTGAATTATCAGTCGTGATACATTGACTTAACAATATCATTTAACTACTTGGATCACATAATAAATACAATTTTAATTTTAAAAGGAAAATCAAATAAATGTAGTAATTTTAGCATTCTTAATTTTATTTATAAATATAAATTTATATACACAATGACATGTATCTGTTTCAAAATACTTAAATCTTTTACAGGATAGAAGCTGATCACTTGTACTTGACAGCAAATCATAATATCTTGGACAAGTCAAAGAATTTCTTCCAGTCCTACAGAGAAATGACAGTTGATAAAAGAATGGTGGACACAAAGTAAAAGTGTTCTTCAACATTTTGTTGAAGATTTCAGTCTGATTTGGAATTCATCTTGCAATATTTCTGGATTTATATATTTGGATACAAGTGTCAAATTTTCAACTTATTGACTAAACAGTTTTGCGTTAAATATTGCCAATGCTATCTATTATTATTATTTCCCTCCAAGATAACATGTCAAGTCTTTATTGTAACCCTTAAGCTCTGTTATACCAGAAAAATCTTGTAATGAACTCATTTAGTTTTTTCCTTGTTAGATTAAATCCATGAAAATAAAGATTATTTTTAATGGCATCAAGTGAATGGATTTCTTGATTAACAAAAAAATAGTATACATGTTTTGCTAGGGCTTTGTGAGAAGCAGACCAGAATTCTTTGCTTGCAAATTTTGTCGTTTGCCATTTTTATAATACGTCAACTATTAGATGATTTATCCATGTTTGAAGCATTTCAAAATTGATATTTACTTACAGTTTAAAGCAGAATTCTGTACTGATATGACTTTGACCCCCCCCCCCCCCCCCCCGAAGCACAAGAGTGTCAAGGTCAATTTTTAATACAAAAATGTTCTTTCATCTTTATGGCCCATATCTTACAAACAATATCATGAAATGTACAAAAAGTGTCTAGAATGTGTCCAGAATGTGAAATAACAAACATGTATATAGCCAAAAACTTAAAATGATGTTGCTTAGCAACCACTTAAAGGTCATTAAACAGATATTTGAAATAAAATGATCATGGATATTGCAGTTTTGATCCCTTCTTGAGAGTATATTCAGAATTTTCCATTTCAGTGTCCATTGTGTAAAATTATGGCAAGAATATTGAAAAGTGTTGAAAAAAATTAATGAAACTTTTGCACTTATTTGACCTTTGACCTCCTAAAAGTAGTTCTAATGAGGTCAAACTTTAAGACAATTTATCTGTTGTATGTCCCTTGTAATTTTATGACCTCACATCTAACTTTTATATGTGCTGGAATGCATAAATGTGTCTAGGAAAAATGAAAAATGAAAATTTCTGCCCGAAAATTAAAAAATTCTGCGTTGCTTAGCAACCCCTTTTAAGTAGTTATATGCAGAATTGAAAAAAAAGTTTATGTGTTTCATGTAGTACAGTATAATGCTCTTTTGTGGGTATATCCCAAATTTCCTATTTCAACATACATCATACTTAATATTTAGCTTAAAGATGAAAAAGTATCAAAAAATTCCATAAAATTTTGCACTTAATTGACCTTTGACCTCAATTTTTACTAATAAGGTCAGTGGTTGAGTATCTAAACAGTCATAAAAAATCATCTGCAAGAAATTTCCTACAAAACGGTATGCATTATGCCTAGCTTTTCCCTTGGATAAAAAAGTTAGAAATAATTTAATAATGCCATGTCAAAAGGCCTCCAAAATCACTTAAAATGTGCCGGAAGAGAAGACTTTTGAGCTTAAATACAGTTATTATCTCCATACATTTCACTGAATATAAACTCAATATCTCATCAAAATTGTCGATGTTGCGATGCCCATGATATGCAACGGTTGGATAAAGGCATCTTTACAACGCAGATAATATTTTCAAGCAATTGAATGAACAATTCCTTCCATATCATATTAAAAGAATAAATTGGACACGAATGTATGATATTAAAAAATCACTGCTTTTCTCGTCCCCAACTATCAATTAGAAGCAGAACTTAAACTAATATCAAAACTCAATTTATATAATATGTTTCATATATCTATTTTATATAATATGATACATATTGATCCATACGGAATATTACGAACATTCCAACTCGCTTTTTCTTCAAAAATATTGGAGATTTGACAATTTTCCCTATATGATATGATAAACTTTAATCTTTAACTTTAAAGAAATACTGTGGATAATTTTACATATTAACTTTGTGGATTCAGAGATACTTTTAAGGGTATTTTTACCCATAAAATAATTCTACCAATAATATTTTTGTATATAACAATTCACACACAACAGAACATTGATGTAACCATCAATTGTCGGAAATAGATAAAGTAAACAGTGGAAATGAATCTTGATCATCAAACCGCTTCGACATATGTGAAAAAGACATGCTTCTAATTGACTGAGACGTTAGTAGCGAATATTTTGAAAACTTATAGTCGGGTGAAAATCGAACAAAAACGATACCCTTTTAAACTTTATCTATTCCTCACGTAAAATTTAATGTTGGCTGTATAAAACAGAAATTGAAACCAGATACATGCATCGCCTTTTTTCAAAAATGTATATCACTTAAAGAATAACTTTATGAGATAAGTTAAAAGACGAACTATGTAAAGAACGTTTTTATGCGATAAGTAAAATTCGATCTTCTAAAAAAGGGACCTGTCGTTTTTTTGATAGTAACGGATAAGCAATTTTATATATTAGATATGAAAAACATATATATTTTTTACAGATTCACTTCATGGAAGTAATATATTGTGTATCTTGTTATTTATAAAGGGAAAGAACATTTTGATTAACAATCTTTTTAATGATTAGAAAAACTTAAATTCTTAATAACTTCTCCCTCCTCAATCCCCATATACCAACACGTAAACTTATATGAATAGAGCAGCCCGGTCCTCCCATAAATATAGAGATTGTCCCGGAAGTAGAGGTCAACCTAGACCAAAAACACAAAAATACAACACAAGCATGGTGAGGCAAGCATACTATAATTTTACTATAAGTAAGTAAGATAATTGATATTGAACTTTAGAAAATATTAATTATTGAGTTCACCAAAAACACCAAATTCCCATGAGACACTGCTTTTTTAACACACTTTGGTTATCATAGTTTCCTACATACTAATTACTAAGAGATAACTGAAAACAAGCTACAATTTCAACATCTATTACGTTAATAAAAATTGGTGGATGTTGCCTCATTAACATTTTTGTGGGGAAACTGGGGAGCCGACCAGTGCGCCAGTTTAACTTCACATGTAAGTTACACACTGGGGGCCTGCATAAACATCAGTGCCCGAGCCTGAACGATCACCAACGTTCTAAGGAGGTAAGCGTGACCTGCCCTTCTCAACCTGTCTCCTGCAGTGCTACCTGGTCTAAATTTTGCATTGGAGAGAAATACACCAGCCTGATTGTTACATGCACCAGCCTTTAGCATCCCCTCACTCAGGTGAGGTGGATATGGCCCAATCCATACCCGGTGTGGGCCCCACTATGCCAAAAACATTAGAATACCGACAACATGGGACAGTTAACTGTGTCCTGACTTTGTATGTTTTAAGGTAATTTACACTTTAAATTAAATCTTGTAGTTAAACCCCTTGCTTTGGGAGCAAGTGGGGGGGGGGGGGGGGGGGGGGGGGGGGGACACACAGGTTTTGGAACAGAAAGTGTCAACACCTACCACTGCGCACTCCCCAGTCCCCAGCCCTTCCCCCCCAAAAAAATAAATAAATGCGACGATATATTCCCATACATGAATGTAAATGTTAAATAGAAAATCAAAGTTGTTTATGAGCACAGAACGCAGTTTGAATCTAAAAGTCATATCTGCTAGTCTCGACACTTATGTCTTTCTGTCTTCTTGCCGGACTTCTCAGGATCTCTTGTTACCAAAAATTACTACTGATATCATATCTTTTGATGACCA